GCCTCCTCTTCCCTCCTCCCGCGGCCCCGGGGCCTTTCCCCGAGCCCCTACGCTGACATCTCTGCTCTGCCTTCAAGGGTTTCCCCCGTGGGATGTAGGGCTGAAGTCCCGGCTTTGTCTCTGCTCCTGTTTGCGTTGCTCTGTGTGCAGCCGGGGCTGTTAGAGAGAACAGACTGAAACGCTCCCTGGGGAAATCTTTGGGTCTGCATGGTGGTATTTTATTAATGCACTTCTTTAGCAGACTCTGGATCTGAATGTTCCTTGCTTTTTGAATTGTCATTCCGTTTTAAATCATAGAACCACAGGATGATTTGGGTTGGAAGGGACCTTTAAAGGTCATCCAGTTCCAACCCCCTGCAGTGAGCAGGGACATCTTCAACCAGGTCAGGTTGCTCAGAGCCCTGTCCAGCCTGACCTTGAGTGTTACTAAGTAGGAGGCTTCTACCACCTCTCTGGGCAACCTGTGCCAGGGTTTCACCACCCTCACTGGAAAAAATTTCTTCCTCATATCTAGTCTAAATCTACCTTCTTTTAGTTTAAAGCCATCACTCCTTGTCCTGTTGCTGCAGGCCCTGCTAAAAAGCCTGTCCTCATCTTTCTTATAGGCCCCCTTTAAGTATTGAAAAGCTGCAATAAGGTCTCCCCTGAACCTTCTCTTCTTCAGGCTGAACAACCCCAACTCTCTCAGCCTGTCCTCATACCAGAGCTGTTCCATCCCTCTGATCATTTCTGTGGCCTCCTCTGGACCTGCTCCAACAGGCCCATGTCTTTCCTGTGCTGAGGACTCCAGAGCTGGACACAGCACTGCAGATGGGGTCTCACCAGAGCAGAGCAGAGGGGCAGAATGAGCTCCCTCAACCTGCTGCCCACGCTTCTCTTGATGTAGCCCCAGATACAGTTGGCCTCCTGGGCTGGGAGCACGTGTATTTTCTGATATTTGATACGTTTGCAGAGAAGCATTCAAGCACAGACCAACTGAAAAATAACCAAGGGGTATTATCAGGTGTGAAACAGAACTTTTAATAGCAGTTGGGTAGAGAAAATCCACTGCAGGAGCTCAAGGTGAGCTGCTCCTTGCTTTACTTTCTTAGTGGCTGCCTGTGCCAGCACCTTGGTCTTGGTTATTTTGTGTGAGGGTCAATACTGACGCTGTGTGTTGATAATTGCAGTTGTCCCCACGGTGCTGTTGGATGAAATCGAGGCAGCAGAGGCAGAAGGCAATGATGACCGTATTGAGGGGGTGCTGTGTGGAGCTGTGAAGCAGCTGAAAATGAACAGAGCCAAACCTGATACCACGCTGTACCTGAGCCTCATGTACCTGGCAAAAATCAAACCAAACATCTTTGCCACTGAGGGGGTTATTGAGGTGAGGGCTGGGTGGGAGTTGCTCTCAGACCAGAGTATAATCTGTGTGTCACTGGAAATGCCATACTTCTGTGTTTCTTGCAGTTTGTTTTCTCTTTCTAAAGCTTTTCTGTGTGCTTTCTTGCTGGATGACTGGGTTATTATTTTCTTTTTTGTGGGTGATATTCCAGGCATTGTGCAGTCTGCTCCGAAGAGATGCCTCCATCAATTTCAAAGCCAAAGGGAACAGCCTTGTGTCTGTCTTGGCCTGCAACCTTCTCATGGCAGCTTACGAAGAGGATGAGAACTGGCCAGAGATCTTTGTCAAGGTGGTTGGATCAAGGGTGGTTCTGCTGGACTGAGGAGGTGGTGGGCAGACTGGGTGGAACTGGGCGGGGTTGGGACATGTGCATGTGTTGGGGTAGGATGGCAGCAGAGGAATTATTCCCACTGCAGGGGAAGGGGGTACCCAGTGGCCTGTTGTCCAGTGTGGGGAATGCAGCTGGAGGAGGTAGAAATCTAGATCTAGATGATCTTTAAGGTCCCTTCCAACCCAAACCATTCTATGAAATCGGGGACTGGGCACGTGCTGTGTTGACAAGGGAGAAAAACATCATTGGTTTTGTTTTTTGGGGGGTTTTTTTGTTTTGGTTTGGTTTTTAAAGAAAAACCTCCACTGGTTGTTGAAGTGCTGTGGCCTCCTTGGACTTTTGTTGCCTTCTCTCTGCTTGTTTCTGAGATACCTTTGACAGTCTGTATGGATATAAGTATCACAGAGACTACTCACTTTCTAGTTTGTCTGTAGAGATTAAACCAGCCTATTAATTTTAAAAGGCTAAGCTTTTAAAAGACCAACTTCTACATTTTGATGGTAGAAGTTGTTGTAAAACGTTTGCTAAAGCTTAATCATCTTTGCTGCTTGAGAGGGTTGGTGCCCAGTAGAGCTGGGGATGTGATGGTTTGGGTTTCTTAGCTCTTATGTGACTTACCTGCAATCATCTGGTCTCTGGTTTTCAACCATGCAATGGTGTTATGCTAGTTTGCTACTTTGCAGCTGTATATTGAATATAAATAAAACCTGGGGAAGCTCACAAATACTCCTTTGATTACAAGTACAAAAAGAGTTTGAGCATGATTTGTGTTCTCTTCTGCTCTCTTTCCTGCAGGTTTACATTGAGGACTCCCTTGGGGAGCGCATCTGGGTGGACAGCCCTCACTGCAAGACATTTCTGGATAACATCCAAACAGCTTTTAACACAAAGATGCCTCCTAAGAGCATGCTCTTACATGGGGAAGTTGGACGTAGTGGAGGGGATCTCAGTGCTGGTAAGAAGGTGTTTAGGAAGCAGTAACAAAGGGGTAGGGAGAGAATGGAGCTTGGTGAGCTTATTGACAGGTGAAAATGGTTTGTTACTGGATGGAGTCGCATAGACCAGGCTTTGAGATTTGAGCATGGCTTCTCCTCTCTTTGGGGCTCTTTCATTTCCAGGGGATGTTTGAGGGCAGGCAGTGAAAGAGGCCTGGAGAATGTGCCTGTGTGTGATACAGTGAGAGGAAGGAGCTAGTTGTGGCCTCCTTCAGTGTTGCTGAAGGGGCTCCTTGAAAGAAGCTGGACCTGTAAAAGCATCAATGAGTGATTTCTAGGAAGAGGAGTTGTCTCATGAAGTGTGCTGTGTGCTGGTCTCTCTTAGGGAGTAGCCCACACCCTTCCATGACAGAGGAGGAAGACAGCCAGAGTGAACTTCTGATTGCAGAGGAGAAAATGAGCCCAGAGCAGGAGGGCCAGCTCATGCCCAGGTACAGTGCCTCCTCTTCTCCTGATGTAGCTGTGTGGCAGACCTGTCTGTGCTCACCCACTCCTGCAGTGCTGCAGCAGGAAGCTCCCTCTCTGCACTAGCTATCCTCTGCCACTTCCTAGAGGGTGTTGAGCATCAGGTACAACTGGTTCCAGGAGAAGAGAGATTTGTTTGTTTGTAATGTGTGCCATGAACGAGAAACGATGCTGATCTCTGGACACAGCTAAGTGTGACCAAGATGGTTTGTGTGGAAGTGAATAAAATGTAGTTTGTATGGTCCAGGTACGATGACCTCGCAGAGAGCGTGGAGGAATATGTCCTAGACATGCTGCGGGACCAACTCAACCGGCGCCAGCCAATGGACAATGTCTCCAGGAACCTCCTTCGACTGCTGACGGCAACCTGTGGCTACAAAGAGGTGCGGCAGATGGCTGTGCAGAGGCTGGAGATGTGGCTGCAGAATCCAAAGGTAAGGGTAGAAGCTGTTGAAGCACGACTCATCTGGAATCCAGGGCAGGAGGGCTGCATACTGTGTGCCAGCTACATTTCTGACCTGTGGTGGCAGGTGGCTTTAGCCTTTCTGTTCTTCCTCTGCAGTTGACTAAGCCAGCTCAGGACTTGCTGATGTCCGTCTGTATGAACTGCAACACCCACAACTCAGAGGACATGGAAGTTATCTCCAACCTCATTAAAATTCGCCTCAAGCCAAAGGTCCTTCTCAACCACTACATGCTGTGTATTAGGTGAGTGAGTGACTGGATCTGTGACAGGAAGAGAAAGCCCTCTGGAAGATGTGCCCAGGGCCTTGACAGTTTCAGTGTCTCTGCATAGTGGTTTTAAATACCAGCTTGGTCCATGGGGTGTTCTGTGTAACACTGAAGTTAATTTAATTGACCTGGATGTCTTTCAGTAATCTTTTGACATAGCTGGATATATGTGCTGCTCTGTGCTCTTCACTTTTGTGTGTTAAATACTTCCAAGAGAAATCAAAACAGTGGGTCTAGTTGCAGTGAAACCTCAGCTCTGATATCTCTGATCTTCCCTTGCAGAGAGCTGCTGAATGCACACAGGGATAACTTGGGCACCACAATTAAGTTTGTGATTTTCAACGAACTATCAAATGCAAGAAATCCCAACAACATGCAGATCCTGTATACTGTGCTTCAGCACAGCTCAGAACAAGCTCCCAAGGTAGGTACAGTGTCTTGTGTGACTGCTGGTGATCCCAGACCTCTGCCTGAGTGATTGAGCTGAACTGATGCTCAAATTAAGTCTTTCCATGGACATCTGTGATCTGTATCATGCTGTTATATGTACTGTTACACTTGTTAGGAATAAATATAGATGGGTGTTTTCTAACTCCCACATTCCGGGTGACCATCCTTGTGGTAATGAAGTTTGAGGAGAAACACGTAGCTCCCTGGGGGTCTGAAGGAGAGGAGTACCACCAGCCTCGTTTCCTTGTGTCTTTTCACTTTGTGGATGCAGGTACATTACAATGCACTGACTGTTTTCTTTTCCTCTATGGCCTCAGTACCTAGCAATGGTGTTCCAGGATCTTTTGACTACTAAGGATGATTACCTGCGGGCTTCACGGGCTCTGCTGCGAGAGATCATCAAACAGACAAAACACGAGATCAACTTCCAGGCCTTCTGCCTGGGTCTTATGCAGGAACGGAAGGAGGCCCAGTACACTGAAATGGAATTCAAGGTACCACTTTGTTTGACCCCTGTGCTGCTGGATGTACTGGTGGTATACTGGGCTCTTCTGCATCTGCTTTTCTGGCCGTTCTTTCTTTTGCTCTTTGTTATCCAGGTCAGTATTTGTGTGTCTCATTTCATAGTGGGGCTCCCATATCCCATTTCCAAACATCCATGATAGTCATTTTTGATGATAAAACACTTTTCCAGAAGGCAGCCTTGAGTATTGCTGATTCAACTCACTTTTTTTTTTTGCTTTTTTTTGTTGAAGGAGCGGTTTGTCATCCACATAACTGATCTGCTGGCTGTCTCCATGATGCTTGGTATCACAGCCCAGGTGAAGGAGGCTGGAATTGCTTGGGACAAAGGAGAGAAAAAGAGTAAGCAGAACAACCTGGGTTCCCTCTGAAGATGGGGAGCTTGATAGATACCTCCCCCTGAGCCTGGGGGAACATTGCAGCTAGGGTGTAAGGGTTGTAGGAGAGGGGTGTAAGCCTGCATTTTGAACAGGGGGTGCTTGCTATCATCCCGAGGCTGACAGGAGTTGGGACATGTGGGATTTGCACGGCTGGGTGCTTCTTGTATCTGTGGAAGCAGTGGTTGAGAGGCTGGGGAAGGGGAGCTCTGTATGGAGGGGCCTCAAGCCTGGAGGGGCAGCTGTAAGGATTACCAGGTACCTTATGCTGAGAGGACAGGCCTTTGAGGTAGCACTGGAGTGACTGGCCAGATGTCTTCTTCTCACAGCAGTAGTTTGTCCATGCTGCCTCTCAGGGTTTTGTTGCAGCGCGTGTCAGAAAGCGAAGCGCATGCGCTGTCAGTGCTGAGATGCTCAAGGCTGGCTGATGCACCTCTCCCCAGTTCACTGTTGATACTTCAGAGCCCTGGTTACCATTTACTCTTGAAACAGCCACCTTCTTCTTGGCTCCTGACAGGGCTCTGATACGTGTGTAGTTTATAACCTGACTGTTTTCCAGACCTGGAAGTGCTACGCTCTTTCCAGAACCAAATTGCTGCTATCCAACGAGATGCTGTCTGGTGGCTTCACACAGTTGTTCCATCTATCAGCAAACTGGCTCCGAAGGACTATGTGCACTGGTAAGAGGGTCAGCTCGGTGATCTGCTGTGCATAACCAGTCGCTTTCCCAGCAGTGTGTGATGTATTATGAAAAGCCACGCAAACACCAGGGTTTGGTTAGATTTCTCTCCCCTTATGAGCTAGGGAGCAGAAACAGTTCTAGCAGGGTCCAGGCTGGGACTGTCTCCTTTTCAGGAATTCCCACAGGTGCATCCTCTTACCAGAAGTGTATGATAATGGAAAATATTTCTGATTTGTATTATTTGGGTCCACCCAACAGGGAATTTCCCGTTACCTGGCCAAGCATAATCCCCGTAGGCCCCTTGTTGTTCTCTTGTCCAACATGCTTCTTCAGGCTGTATGGCTGAGGGCTCCATAGGTAGTGCTGTCTTCTCTGCCTGCTTCTGGTTGTGTCCTGGGGTCTGGCTCAGGGCATTACTGAGGCAGGTCAAGCCAGAATTAATAGTATCTGAGATACTACAGGGAAGTGTAAATGCCCAATGCCCATACTGTGTAGTCCTCTCTGTTGTGATTTGAGTCGTTACTTTTGCTAGATGAGGTTATCTGAGGGGGCTTCTTCATGTGTAGGATGGGAAGCATTAACAGGAGTTTGGGGAAACTGAACTGTTGAATGGGCTCTTGAACCTTGCACATAAGGTGTTTCCTGTTCTCTTCATCTCTGCAGTCTCCACAAGGTGCTCTTCACAGAACAGCCAGAAACCTACTACAAATGGGACAACTGGCCCCCTGAGAGTGACCGCAAGTGAGTGTGTTCCCCACCCGTAGCTGGGTACAGGCATGGAGCTGCTGGAGCTGGAGGCAGAATTGGTGTTTTCTGGTGTTCCTTATATAGCTCTGCGTTGGGAAGGCTTGGAACTGTGCTTAGATTTTCATCATCTGTTACATTGCCTTAAAACTGGGGGTTGTTGCTCCATTCTCCATCTGTTCCTCTTCCTCCTTCATTCCTTTTCCCTGTGCCAAGCTGTTCTGTGTCTTGATGCTGTAATTGTAAGAAAGGCAGCCCTGCACTCTGTGGTTTGTGCTGGGGTCACAGTAGGGAGCTCAGACTCAAGCAGGCTGAAGGGCAGAGGTACAAGGCCACATGAACAGTACTCCTTAGAACAATTTGTTTCAGGTAGTTGCATTTGGAGCAGGAGACCAGGGAAGGGGTTGTAAACTAAGCTGTGATTTATCTTCTGCTCAGATGAGCTCTAGGGTTTGTGGAGGGTTTCAGGAACCCTCATGCTTCTGTCAAAAGAAGCGTGATTGATGTCTCATGTCTCATGCAGCTTCTTCCTTCGCCTCTGCTCCGAGGTGCCCATCCTCGAAGACACACTCATGCGGATCCTTGTGATCGGTTTGTCGCGGGACCTTCCTCTTGGCCCTGCAGATGCCATGGAGCTTGCTGACCACTTGGTGAAGCGGGCTGCGGCTGTGCAAGCAGATGGTAAGACTGCACAAAGTTCCAGCCAGCAAGTGGTTACTTCTGTCTACATGCCCTCTTATTGCTACCCAGGGCTGAGGTGGCTCCTACCATGTACCAAACAGCCTTTGCATCACTTAAAACATGTTTTAGTCATGATGGCCAAGCCTTTGGCTCAAAGCCAGACACGTATTGCTCTTGCTTTCTCACTAGAGAAGCTTCTTTCTCCTACTGTTTCTCTCTGTTACTAATTTTCTGTCATGGAGTGTTTGGGAAATTATTGATTGTGTTGAGGATGAAGGATGGTGAATAACCACCCCAAGTTTTGAGTTAGCATTTTTAAATTCAATTTAGTCCTTTATACATACTTTATACATAGTAAAATGAAACTATGTTTTTAGGCCATGCACAGATGAAAAGGTTGGAAGTTAAAGTAATCAACCCATGTATTGTATGCTCCTCCCAACTCCATTGTTCAAACACTGTTACAGAATAGCAGCTACAAAAGCAGCCTTAACTCTTACCCCTTTTATGAATTTACTCAGCATTTGTCCAAATTCCTGCATCCTTGGAGAGTTATCTCCCTTCAGCTGAGCTGTATGTGTTTGTGTCAGAGTTGAGGGGATTTTCAGAGTTTGATTCTAAAGCATCTTAGTGGTCACTGGTTAATAACAAAGTCTAAGCCAGGTCTGGTCAGTGCAAGAGGAATAAGCTAGGCTGTGCTGTTGAATATCTTGTGAAAATATGTCCAGTTTCTCAGTGTAGCATTTTCAATGCTGCACCGTTTGAAATACTAGAAGACTCAGAGCAAGTATGAAAACTGGCAACAAAGTTAAAATGCATTTTTAGTTCCTGAGCCCCAGAAGTTCTGAGTAGATTCACCACGTACCTGAAGGATTGTATCTGAGTTCTGAAAAAGATACAGGTATCATACTGGATGCATTTGGGGAAAAAAACTGCCCTTAAGAATTTAAACGAAATTGCACCTGAAAAGCTCAATATTCTTCTATATTGACATGTAGCTTTTTAAAGTGTTGTTGTTTTTTTGTTCCTCTAATATCATGAGAACAAGCCCACAATAACATAGTTGCTTGAAGTAGAATTTTTGTTATCCTGTGGTGCTTTTCTTGAAGGGCTTTCAGCCAGGTAGACAGGTCAATAACTTGCTTAGTCTTTTCTTCTCCTACTTCAGATGTTGAGGTCCTGAGGGTAGAAAGAATCCAGCTGATCGATGCAGTCTTAAATCTGTGCACTTACCACCATCCAGAGAATATCCAGCTGCCCCCAGGGTAAGGCTTATCACATAGACAATCTTGTTGGGATCTATCTCATTTTCACCTTGTGACTAACAGTCCTAACTCAGAAGATTTTAAGATGCTTTTCCCTATTACAATTTGTAATAACAAAATCATGAGAAAACCTTTTCAATGTCATGTTCAGGTGGAAATTTCTCTAGGGTAATTAAAACCTGAGTCATGGAATGGACTTTCCTCTGTAAGCACTCTGACCTTTCTGCTCTAGAAATTTTCAGCTGGACCCTGCTGCCCCTCCTGAGAGAGGCTTTTAAAAAAAACCCAAAACCAAACCAACCAAACTACTGAACTGCTATGGCTGAATCAGTGCATGATTAAGGAGAAAAGCAGTCCTGAGATGGCCTTAAGTAACCAAATCCAGCCACTTGTATCTGTTGATGGCTTTTGCAGGTACCAGCCTCCAAACCTAGCTATTTCTACACTCTACTGGAAAGCCTGGCCTCTCCTGCTTGTAGTGGCTGCATTCAATCCTGAAAACATTGGTGAGTGTGGACACTTCTCAGGATACTAGTTCTGCTGCAAAAATTGGCCAGAGTGCTGTCTGCTGAAGTTTGGTTGCCTGTGTTGAAGGCGTGTGCTGGTTTGATGAGATAACTGCAGTTAACTCACTGCATATTCCTGTGTGTGCAGATACACACAGTGTTGGGGACTGGACCAGCATGTGGCTGGAATCACAGTGTCTGTGCTCTTAAGTGTGGTGAGCTGTTCCAAAGTGAGTTTGTGTGTCTTCCCACTTTGGAGTGTGTTAGAATACGTATTAAGACCCTGACTTTTTTTTTCCTGTATCCCTGATTGCTGTTCTCTTCTTGGCTGCAGGTCTGGCTGCATGGGAAGAGTACCCTTCTCTAAAGATGCTCATGGAAATGGTCATGACCAAGTTAGTATGCTTAAATCTCTACATAAATCAAATAGGCCACCAAAAACACATCTTTCTGAATGAAACTCGTGCCAGCTGGCTCCTTCCTTTCTAGTAGGACTGATGTAAAATAAGCTGGCTCATAGCAATATTGCAGTTTGAGTGGGAAAGGTGCCTTCCCCCAACAGAAATATTATAAGCAAGGGAATAAAGCTGAGAAAGAGGGAGGGATGACTGTGATGTGCCTTGTTGGAAGGACTGTGGTTCATGAATTTTTGAATACACAAAGATAACAATTTTTTACTTGTTTTCTCAGTAATTATTCCTATCCTCAATGTACCTTGACGGATGAGGAGACACGCACAGAAATGATTAATCGTGAGCTTCAGATCTCCCAAAGAGAAAAACAGGAAATTCTTGCATTTGAAGGTCATCTGGCTGCTGCATCCACAAAACAAACAATTACAGAGAGCAGCAGCCTCTTGCTGTCCCAGCTGACGAGTCTGGACCCTCAGTAAGTAGCCTTCTGCAGCTCGGTGCCATCAGGAAACACCAGTTAATGCTAGTCAGGAGAGCCTACTGCTGATAGGGTGGTTGATGTGGCAAAGAAGAGCCCTGATATTTGGTAGCCTGCAAGATCTGTCACATTTGGTCCTTACCCTTCTGTTGCCACCTGCATGTGGCCCTTGTGTACTACTGAACTAACTGATCCTAATCAGCACCAGAGTGAAAGTCTGACTGCCTGTGGATAACTTCTTGTTTCTCTGGCAGGGGCCCCCCACGCAGACCTCCACCACATGTCCTGGAGCAGGTGAAAAGCCTGAACCAGTCACTTCGCTTGGGCCACCTCCTGTGTCGCAGTCGTCATCCTGACTTTCTTCTCAACATCATTCAAAGACAGGTGAGCTCCCTCGAGGGCTTGGTTATGTTGGGATCTGATCCCTCATCTCTGAAACTTGAGCAGAGAGAGGGGCAAAAGGAAGCTGAGTAAGATGCAGGCGATGGTGGGTTACTGCTCCAGAATTAAATGAGCAGTGTGCTGCATCTATATTCTGCTGATACTGCATTGTTATTCTGCTTCCTAGGCCTCATCACAGTCAATGCCATGGCTGGCAGATCTGGTCCAGTCCAGCGAGGGCTCCTTGGATGTCCTACCTGTGCAGTGCCTTTGTGAGTTCCTACTTCACGATGCTGCTGATGAATCGACCTCGGGTGAAGAAGAGGAGGAGGGTGAGAGTAAGGAACAGCGTGCCAAGAAACGCCAGGTGAGGGCATCGGTTCTGTTATCTACTTTCCGTGCATCCCAGATTTTATTTCATTGTAAAGCCCAACTTCTTTTTCCACAGAGACAACAGAAACAAAGGCAGTTGCTTGGACGGTTGCAAGATTTGCTTTTGGGTCCCAAAGCAGATGAACAGACAACCTGTGAGGTGCTTGACTATTTCCTACGACGCCTGAGTTCCTCCCAGGTGGCCTCACGAGTCTTGGCCATGAAGGTGAGCAAAATGAACATCATCTTGATGAGGGTTTGTACGAAGCAGAGGGCAGAGTCCTCGGTTCTTGTCACTCCAGAGCCAGCACAGTGAAATTGTTTCATGTCATCCTTCTACAGTAACTTGTCTCAATCTTCAGTCCCTGCTGTTCAGAAACCTTCTTTGTTCAACAGCCAAGTAGTACTTTTCTTAAGATAGAGCTGGATTTTGCTGTTTCCTGTGAAGTTCAGGTGTAGACTCAGCAGATGATGTGCTACATGCAGTAATTGGCAGCAGCTGTTGTCTGTGAGGAATGTAAATGAGTGAGTGTCTGGTGCTCTAGAGCATAGTCAAGGCAAGGAGAATTGCAGAGAGCTCAAAAAGATTATACTTAGAGAAGACTGAAGCTTCAAGCAGGGTGGCTGTCAAGCAAACACGCTATATGAGATATGAAACCTGTTGTGTGCTGCATTTGGATTTTTCCATTATGTTTGAAGCTTGTTTCTATTATATTCACTAGTATGAAACTAGTGGTCCAGCTGTGGCTTCAAATGCAGCAGCTGTGTCTGTGTGACTTCTGCAGGGCCTGTCCTTGGTGCTGTCAGAAGGGGGATTGCGTGATGGAGAGGAGAAAGATCACCCCATGGAAGAAGACTCTGGCGATTCTGAACTGCTGCAGGGGTATCAGTGGCTGCTGAGAGACCTCCCGAGGCTGCCACTGTTTGACAGCGTTAGAGCAACAACAGCTCTTGCCTTGCAACAGGTAGGTGTTAGTAACTGGAAGGGGTAGAGATCAGCTTGTTCTTTGTCCTACTCATGCTAAAACAGAGCTGAGTAAACTGTATGGGTGCAATATTGACATGTTTATATGCTTGCAGAATAAGTTTTCTTATGCTGGTGCTTGTTATCATTAAATCCTGATTTCTAATGAGGGGAATTCTCATTCTAGGCCATCCACATGGAGACAGATCCCCAGACCATCAGTGCTTACCTGGTGTACCTCTCCCAGCATGCCCCAGTGGAGGAGCAGGGACAGCACAATGACCTCGCTCTGGTGAGAGGCCAGGTTGCTAGGGCAGAGGGACTGCACGGGGGAGACTTGTCATGGCTCAGGACAGTGGCAGGCATGTCACTTGCTGTACCAGCAGGATAAGTGTTTTGGGAGCATGTGAATCTGATAACGATGTGTTTGTATTTCCACATATGTGTTGGAAGGCAAACTGTGTCTTTGGTTTCATATCATGAAGTGATACCGGAGCAATAACCTCCAGGCCAGCAGCCCATCTCAGATGGTGTGGGGAATGCAAGAGTGAGAGTGGTGGTTTGAAAGAAATCCCACCACTTGGTAGTGTTTCACAAGCAGGCAAGTGCTAAACCTGCAGTCACATGTGTCTGGGGAGAGAATGGGAAGTCAGGAGCCTTCGTGGTGGGATATACACTCTCTTAGAATCAGAATTGAATTTCTGACTTTTTTTTTCTTTTTTTAAAAAGGTTTTGGTGATTTTTATTTTTTTTAACAATGATTTTTTCATTGTTCTGTCTCTGAGTGTCTTTTGCCATTGCCTTTAAGTCCATTGAACTATATCCTTCCTAACAGTCTTTTGGAGATTGATGGATCTAGAGGCTCACGTGCTCTTCCTAGCCCCACAGATCTGCTTAGATACATGGAGAATGTCACAGTGTAAGAGTCAATAAATCTGTTTCTTCAGAGAAATGCAGATTTTTACTAGATAAATGCTCACTTTGTTACACAATGCATCAGAGTGCAGCTGTGCTACAACTGGGGACACTGTAAGGTATCACAAGGTGCATGCAAAGCACTAGTGTTTGACCTGTTGTGATGGTTCTACTCTTGACTCTACATGTTGGTCTCTGGAATGGTGATAACTGGGCTGATGATGGAAACTGGAGAGTGTGATGCAATGAAGCAGGAGGACCTGGCTGTGTTGTTCAGTAAAGACCTCATGGATCTTTTCCCCTTGCAGGATGTAGCCCGACTCATAGTGGAACGCTCTACCATCATGTCTCACCTCTTCTCCAAGCTCTCGTACTGTGCTGAATCAGATGCAGTGCTTGTTGCTCTTCTCTCCATCTTTTCTCGCTACATCAAACGCATGCGCCAGAGCAAGGAGGGAGAGGAGGTGTACAGCTGGGTGAGTGCCTCCCTGCCTTAAGCAGGTGGAAGAAACTGAACAAGTTACTAAGAGAGTCTGTTGTGGGTTAGTGAGTATGTAGAAACCACGCCTGGTGGGTTAGTGAGTATGTAGAAACCACATCTGGTGGGTTAGTGAGTATGTAGAAACCACACCTGGTGGGTTAGTGAGTATGTAGAAACCACCTGGTTTAAGAATTCCCTGATCTGAAAATAATTGGAGGTTGGGGTAATATCAGAGCCAAGTGTATGTAAAAAGCTTTTTTAACTTTTCCTTGAGTATCTTTTTTGACCCATGTTGGAGTTACTGGGCTGGAGCTTTGATGTGACCAAATTTGTCCATTCTTATGTTCTCCTTTCATCTGGATCTCACAGATCTCATTCTCCTTTCTCTCCCCAGCTTTGTTCATCCTGTTTTTTTTTCCAGTCAGAGTCCCAGGATCAGGTGTTCCTTCGTTGGACTAGTGGGGAAACAGCCACTATGCACATTCTTGTGGTTCATGCCATGGTTATTCTCCTGACACTAGGGCCACCTCAAGGTTAGTGAAGTGTGCTCAGATTTACTCAAGGGGTCAGGGACAATACAGACAGCCTTTCCTCTGTCTGCCATCTACTGACAGATCAGGCTGATTTTAATCCTTCTACTCACAGACTTGTCCCCTGCAATATTTGTTTGTAGCTGTAAGATCTATCAGGGTATTGGTGCACAAAGTGAAGGATTTGCAGGCTTGTTTTTTTGCCTTCTGCAGACAGCAGGAAAAATTAAAATGATGGTGTGTCCCTCCCTGCTAAACAAGAAGGACTCAGAGACTACTTGTGGTGTGAGAACTGGGAACTCAGATAAATAGTTCACATTTCTACTTGATACTGTTTATTCTTGACCTTTGAACAGGAAAGTGGTCTGGTATATTTATTTGTATAGCAAAGGGAGGGTGTTCTAGGTGAATATGAACATTGGAGATAATTTTGTATCCACTCTTAAGCAGGGGATGGTGATTTTTATACCTTACTGGATATATGGTTCCCGGAGAAAAAGCCCCTTCCTACTGCTTTTCTGGTTGACACCTCAGAGGAGGCTCTGCTGCTCCCCGACTGGCTAAAGCTGCGTATGATCCGCTCTGAGGTCCCGCGTCTTGTGGATGCAGGTGAGCCTGTGGGATGTTTCTTGGTGTTTCAGACCTTCCTGAAAGGAAAGGGAGAGGCTTCCCTTCTCGAGTCCTCTGTGTTCCCAGTCATCCTACTTGGTTACCTTTGGGTGGGGCCATCAGTCACTGCAGATGCTGCAGCTGAGCAGTGAGCTCGGATTTAGAAAGCAGTGTGTCTCTGGATTTTGTGACAGTCGCAGTCTAAACACACAATAGATTATTTGTTGTGTCCCTTAGGGCTGTCAAATGGATGTACAGAATATGAGCTGGTTCTGGGCAGGGAATATTATGGGATGTCTGAGGATGATTTCCCTACTCAGCCATGATATGTAGTTTATGTACCAAGGGTTTGAGGAGGATACAGCCTTGCTAACCATCAGAGCCTGCGGGTTGATCCCCACAGCGTTAAGAGCAGAGCTCGGTGAAAGCTGAGACTGAAGAGGAAGCAGGTCAGTGCTTTTGGTAGAGCTCCTTCCTGCAGTGTGGAAGGCAGTTCCTCCCACTCTGATCTAAGTGCAGAATCTTGCTGGCTTTTATAGGCAGTGACTTACTTTTGAAACAGGGGAGAGAATCTGTATGACTGTTGCACTTTCTGTGTATTTTAAAGGAACTGGGAGACTTTGAATTGGATTCCATCTTTTTTACAACAATTCAGATTGAATTAAGCTACACAGTCACCAGACAACAGGCACAGCACTGCTTCCATAGGACACGGTGTGCTTGCAATGTGGAGAGCAGTGTCTGAAGGATGTAAGCTATACCTGTAGTTACTTTTGTCCTTGCTTGGCTCATCAGTGCTTTTTTTCTTCTTGGTATTCAGAGCTTTCATCCCTTTCTTACTAATTAAATGACAGCTCTCTATAGCCAGTGATTGAATTATTCAAGAATTCCTGCCTGCAGCCATCAACAGATAGGGTGGAAGTTATTTTTTTAATACGAATTATTGGGTTCCTGAGGTTTTGATCAAATTAAAGACAAGATCAAATTAGCCAGTGAGTGAATTAACTGGAAGATGCAATAAGCAGGCAGTGATTTGCAGAGGAAAGAAAACATAGTAGGCAGCTGTCAGACTTCTGGCTTTGGGCTCTCTGCAGCCCTGTCATTAACGTGTCACTGTTGGTCCAGCCAGAAGCACAAAGATCAGGTAATAAAGATGACCCTCTCTGAGCTGTTCAGAGTTCTGAGGACTTGGTGTTTGTGTATTTCAGCCCTGCAGGACCTGGAGCCACAACAGCTGCTTCTCTTTGTTCAGTCCTTTGGAATCCCAGTTTCCAGCATGAGCAAACTTCTGCAATACCTGGACCAGGCAGTATCTCATGACCCACAGACGCTAGAGCAGAACATCATGGACAAGAGTAAGAGCTTCATATGAGGCTGACTATGCATTTTACTTGAACAGTTGTCATGAGTATCTCCTGTGACTTCCTTGGAAAAATCCAACTAGTTCAGCAAACTCTGTGCACATGCTGCTTTGGCAGCTTGTTGTCACTGTAGACACCTCTCATCCACCTTGTCTGGATGGCCCTTGTCTCTACTTCCTGAAGTAGAGAAGGATTTTCTGGATTGGATTGTACAAAGTCTAAAAAGTAATTTGGAGGCTAACTTGTAAAAGAAACAAGGCTTAAAAGCATCATGTTTACAAAGTCCACAGGAACACCAAATTCCCTTCTCTGAGAACTGTATAAACAGCAACAAATTCTGTCCTGCTTTAGTAAAGAGGGCAAAATGATGATGTGCTCACATCTTCTCCTTTTCAGACTACATGGCTCACCTTGTGGAAGTTCAACATGAGAGAGGAGCGACAGGAGGCCAGACTTTCCACTCCCTGCTCACTGCATCCTTACCAGCCCGCCGAGGTATTAAACTGACAAATATCAAAGTCATCTTCCAAACTTCCTTCCTCTGTTGCTGTTGAGAGGGACAGGAAGGGTTGTTTTCAAAAGGGGTTATGTTGCAGTATATCAGCAAACTACACTTAGACACCAGTCCTTGATAGAGTTTTTTGCTTCTGGTGAAGGGAGAAATTCAAATATTTTTGGAGATTAATACAATGAGTAGTAGTGAACTGAATTCCTTGGTAGTTAGAGACTGTAACATTGATGGTGGTCCAGTGTTGGAACTCTGGATGCTAGCTAGCATAATGACATTTTTTTTCTTTTCTTTTATTCCTCCTGCAGACAGTGCTGAAACTGCAAGGTCAAAATCCAGTCCTGAGAGCTCTCAAGGCCAGAGTCGAATCCGAGCCTTAAGCCAGGTCCGAGTTCTGGGCCCAGAAGATGATCTAGCAGGCATCTTTCTGCAGGTACTGGTATAATCTCTAGCTGATCAGCTAATTCTCTGCAGAAGCTTTACAAAATCTGTTTCTCTTATACTTGTGTCTTCTGACACTTTCCTCCTCTGGTGTTTGCAGGTAATGAGGTGGCACCATTAGACCCTGGTGGAATTGATACTGAAAGCATTTTTTTCTTGTAGTTGGAACATGATGTGGCTTTTGATCGTGCCTAATACTGTCAGTGCCTGGTAGCATGTTACTGTCTCTGCACCCTTGTTTGTTCTGTGTTCTGCCTTTCCTCTCAGCAGTGGATGGAGGATTTGTGGAATGCTCAGAGGGCCTCGGTGGCAAAGCTGTGTGTAAACAGCATTTATACTCTGGCTTGTCTGCGTGCAGAGCCTCCCTCTCTCTATTGACTCTAGAAGGAGCCTACAGGGTATTAATTGGACAAGTTGGTTGCCTGTATTTGGGTATTATGGTGATTCTCCCACAGTGTCAGCATTGATAGTCACATTGGGGTTTCCTAGATGTTGTGCCTGTACCAGGCACTGAAGTATTGAAAAGGCTCTGTCAGAAGCTTCCAGTTAGCCCACAGTCGGTATGATTGTACAGATCAGCCCTCTGCTTCGGGGTGTTTATTGTATAGCACATCTGTTCATTTACCCTCATAAACATTTCCTTCTGTCTCCTACCAGCTTTTCCCACTAAATCCAGACCCACGATGGCAGAATTCAAACCTGCGCCCGCTTGCCCTGGCGTTACAGCAGGCTCTGGGGCAGGAACTGGCTCGTATCCGTCAGGGGAACGCGCAGGTGACCGGGATCACTGCACGACTTCTCCAGGCAGTAGCTGCACTGATGAACTCCCCGCACAGCGGGGCCTTGGTGATGGCCATGCATCATCACCACTTCATCTCCTGCCCACTGATGCGCCAGTTGTACCAGTATCAGGTGAGCGGTGTAAGATGAGAATCTTTGTCCTGTTTAGCAAAGAGGGGTGAGGAGGAAACAGAAAGTCTGCAGTGTACCTGTTCTGCTGCGTGCAGACCCTTTACCTGTGTAGTGCTGGAAATGGAGCCTGGGGAGTATGGCACAGGGGGACGTAGGCATCTGGATGCAGGCTGGCCCCCATTAGCTGAGCACTGCTGAGAACTGGGGCTTGTGAGCAGGGTTAGGTGTATCCTGCCCAGTCTGGTAACTGTGCAGTGCTGGGGATTTGCAGCTGTGGGTCTCTGTTGGCTTTGGGATCTCTAGTCTGCACTGTTTTGTAGCGTGGACATGTCTTGCAAGGCAGGGCATTTGCAGACAACTTGAGAGCTGAAATCTGTAATCCCTTAAAAATCTTTAGAGCAGGCTGCAAATTATTGAATTAAATATTCCTTTTATCATGATGAAAGAAGGCACAGAGTTACCCCTAGTTAGTTACCTGGCTGAGGTATTTTGTGTGTGACTGAGTCATCTGCCTTGTATTTATACACCAGAAGCTGCTGCCTTGATTGAGTGAGCTATGGTGCAACAGAGTAGGTGTGTTCTATGGATTTCTGGCAGTATGTGCCACTATCTGCATCTTTCCTGCTATCTTTGTTGTGTTCCTGAAGTGTGTATAAGCAAATCTCTTTTGCTCTTCTCCCCAGCGCTGCATGCCACAGGACACTGCCTTCTCCTCGCTCTTTTTCAAAGTCCTCATGCAGATGCTGCAGTGGTTGGAGAACCCTGCAGTGGAAGATGGTCCTCTGCGTGCTCAGCTGAAGGCCTTTGCTGTGCAGTACTCCTCAAGGCACAGGATCAGTGATGGTACTGGCTTTGTGCAGCTTATGGGACTCAGAAAGGAACAAGAAAGGAACATAAACAAAACTGCACCCTGAGCAGGAAATGGGGTGGCCTGCCTTTCAGGGAGGTGTGCTTAAGAGTAGCAAAGAGGGGTTTTGTACTGTGCTGTATAAACTCCATGAGGATGCAGACAAGTGATTTAGCTCTGGGGGTTTGCAGGAGACATGAGGTAGCATCTCACCCTGCACAGCAGATCTCTTGGGGGAAACTTCCAATTGCTCAGGCCAGGAATTCTGTGCTTGCTGTGTCCTGAAATGTGAGCATGCAAGAATGCCTCTGGAACAAGGTCACATCATGACTTGTAGAGTTGTTTATCATCTACCACCTGTTGGGAGAAGGAATCTATAACCAAGAGCTTAGACATGGAAATGGGTTTGTGATTATAGTTTTCTCTTAGCCACATGTCCCTGTAATATGCAGAAAAGCTGTTCAAGGGTTTCAGTGGGAGAAAAATGGCAATAGAGTGTAGTGTGTTTGTATGTTTGAGTAGCTGTGCCGTGGAGACACTTGTGGCTTCTGTAGAAGGGAAGCCTGATGTGGGGGCTGGCTTGGCCCTGTGATGCTAATGCTGCGATTTCTTTGCAGTTCGAGGTGGCTTCTTGCATCTCACAGAAGCTCTGACTTTCCGTCGTGACCCTGACTTGATCAGCTCCACGGTCCGTGCCATCATTGCAACTCTGAAATCAGGAGAGAAGTGTAATGTGGAGCCAGACCTCATCAGCAAAGGTATGTCTGTCCTGCTCTCCCCTGCTGCAGCAGCAGGTTGAACTTCCAGCCCAGCAAGGGAGTGCCTATTGTGCAGGCTGTGGGAAGCTGCCTTCTGCCTAGATCAGAACACGTGAACTGATCTAAATTTGGTCCTATCTTATCTCAGCTCCTTCCCTGCACTGGTATGTGGGTTTATAAACTGTGATCCATGGCTGGGATTAAGCCTCTTGGCAAACTGTTGGTTTCCACTAACAGAATGAGAAATAGAAGCCTAGTATCCCAGATAAAAGTGGCTTCCTTCTTCCTTACTCAGCTAGGCTCTAGGAATGCTGGACTGATTGCCTTCATGATATTCTTACAAGGTTCCATAGCTTTTACCACATCCTGAAGTTGAGTTACATCTTTCTCCCTCTGCTAGTCCTTCAAGGTCTGATTGAAACTCACTCTCCGTACTTGGAAGAACTCCTGACTGTCCTCTTCTCAGCTACTGTTGAGACCACTGCCAGGTTTCCTGCTATGAAACCAATTGCTGTGGTGAGCTCCTTGTTGCTTCAGGACAAAGAAGAAACACCAGTGAAGAAGGAGCTGGACAGTTGCAGGTGAGCCTAGGCAATAACAGGAATTCACTGGTAGGTCTAGGTTAGTGGCATCAGCACTGATACTGGCTTTGTTTTCTCCTCAGTACTGAAGCTGCTTGGCTAGGACCCTCCTCTGGCCTTCTTAATGACTGGCTGGAGATGCTGGACCCAGAGGTAATCAGCAGCTGCCCTGATCTTCAGCAGAAGCTACTGTTCTCCTGGAACAAAGTAAGAGTTGTTGGGTAGAGGGACTACTGTCCTGAAAGCACCTTTCTGGGGAACTGACCTGCACCTGGAAACAGGGCAAGGGGAGTTTTATGTTTTGTCATGTGTTGCTATACCAGTTCCAAAGCAGTACAGGCTGACCAGGAGGGGAATTCTGGTGTGTCCTTCTCAGTTGAGGACTTGTGTTTCATCTTATCTTTATATTTCCTCAGCTGTGTTCTTTTCAGGACTTAAAAGTGCATTACAGACACAACATAGTCCCATAACAGCCCAGGCAGCTGTATTTTCATTGGTATTTTTGCAGACAGATAAATACCTTGCACAGAAGTGCTGTGCTGAAGCTGAGACTGAAAACTGAATTTCACAGCTGATGCCATGTTCTGTTAGAAAATCCTAAATCCACCTGTTGTCTTCTGTGCTGTGTGTCTGCCTGGATTGTCATCCTTGTGTAATATACATGGTATCTCCCACATCCCCCTCGCAGCAAGGATCTGTTTGTGCATCTCTTCCTTGTTTGGTCCTTTCAGGCAGGGTCCCAGGTGCCATCATTCCGCCCGTATCTCTTGGCTCTTCTCACTCACCAGTCCAGCTGGACCACGCTGCACCAGTGCATCAGACTTCTGCTTTGCAGAAACCGGGAGCAAAGGTGAGTCTTGTTTTTGGGCCTAGCAAGGAGTTTTGAGTTGGGCGACTCACTGTGTCTGAGAGAGAACAAACAGAAGCTGAGAACAAGAGCTGCCACATTCCACGGGGCATCTGCCAGGAGATGTAACCCAGCCAAAAACAGGCTTTGTGAGAAGGATGCTGATTTCAGTCATGCTGATTTGTGTACCTTGATATAAATATTTCCTGCTGTTTGATGGAAGCAGCACATAAAGATTTGGCTGTGTTCTAAACAGGAAGTGCTAATCACTGGGTAATTCATCTAGCATTGCCCTTGTTGATAATCTTTATGAACATGGGGTTTGAAAGATGGCTTGGATAGCGAACTGACAGCAGTCTCTGTACCTGGGCAGGCTCTGTTGGATCTTTTGGTTGTACTAAACTCCATTACCAGTCTTTAACCCCCTTCCTGGCATGAGGCTCCCAGTTCTGATCTCTGGAGCAGCCCTAGCTCTCAGCTTCTGTGCATTGCTCTCAAATACTGAAGGGCCACTGCTGTAGTACGTTGCTTAAACTTGTTATCTTTATGGACCAGGAAATGCTTAACACTTAATAGCAGTAATTCAGGACTTGACTAAACTAGCAATACTTCTAAAGCTAGCAGTATTTCAGTTTGCTTATTATTTGATGATTGGTCTCTTTCTCACTAACAATTTCATTAATTTCTGCAATCCAGGATAAGAGCCAGGATAGGATGTTCTGTAAGCTGGGACAGTAAGGTCACTGGTCTGATTGTACCAATTGTTTGTGTTCATGACTGTCTTCTGGCCTTGTGGTGCAAGACTCCATGTAGCCACCACGCTCTTGCTGAATGCCATTTGTTCAGCTCCAAACCCTGTGCAGTGTTGATTGCAACAAATATTTAGTCATAATCTGGGAACAGAACCAAACCCCTTCTTGGGACTTAATGGATCCTATTTTTACATTTGCAGATGTTTCTTTCTTCACAGTACTCATGATATTTAGAGATGCTGCCATGTGTTTTGTGCTGCCTGAGGGCTCTGTTGACTCTAATTGTAAATTTGTCTTCTTTTATCTTCTGGCAGGTTTGACCCAACTGCATCCTTGGATTTCTTGTGGGCCTGTATTCACATTCCTCGGATCTGGCAGGGAAGGGACCAAAGAACTCCTCAGGTAGTGGTTCTGTTCTTTCCAAGATTCCTCTCTGAATGGAGTAAGAAGTGATGCTTTCACAATGCCTGATTATTTTTTTTTTTTCCATGGCCCAAGAGGTGGCTGGAGTGATACAAGTGCAGGATGCCAAGTTTGCTGCCTGTACCTCAGCTGGTTACTTAGCTGCTCTGCTACGTTACATATTACAGTGGCAGTTTTGAGTCCAAAAAGCTGATATGATCACATATAAGTTTGCCCACTTGGCATTTCCTCTGCAGCTCCTGCAGCAGTTGCCACAATATCCATTAAACATCTAGGCACAAGGCTACAGTGGTGAGCAAGCTAAAACCCAGTGTGGGATAATTCCCGTTTCACCAAGAAAAGGAGGTTGCATCTCATCTTGACAGTGGAATTTCTTTGGTTTGGTGACTGAATTATGGTTTCTCTCCCATTGCACATGCTGAGTCTGGAAGTAAATGAGTTCAGAAGTAGAAGAGGAGGAAAGAGGTTTCATTTGGGGCTGTGATGCATGCTTTCAGAGCTCTAGATACGGGGCAGTTCTTAAGTCTAGTCAGAAGAGATGTTCTGTTCTAGTTGGAGGAAGTGTGACTAGGAGGAACTAAGGATCTAGGGATGCAGTTTGGAATAATTTGTGTGTTCTCTTGCATTACAGAAACGCCGTGAGGAATTTGTGCTCCACCTAAAGGCATCAGAATTGATCAGCATGGTGGAGCTGATCCTGGCTGAAGCAGAAACCAGATACCAGAACACAGAAGAGGCCTCCTGCACACTCATCCAGTCTCGTCTGCCTTTGTTGCTTAGTTGTTCTCATGGGGACCTTGAGAGCATCAAAAAAGTAACGGAGTATCTGACTGGCTGCATCCAGCAGTGGGGAAGCAGGTGGGGTTGAAAATGGGGAGCACTATCTACTCTAATTGTAGTTACTTGTCATTTTAAGTGATACTTGGACGAGGAAGATGACTTTAAAAGGGACATTTCAAGGCCCTTTTGCTTTTAGGACTTTTTTTTTTTTTTAAGTCAGTGGTTATTTTTAATTACCAGTTACTAATGTGGGATTTCTTGTCTACTTATCCCTTGAATCAGTGTTTATAATGCATCCTGCTTCTGACCATTACGATTGCTCTCAAAGCTGAATGGAGATGAGATTGTTTTCTAACAGCTGTGTTAGCACTGTGGGAAGAACAGGAAGGTGGTGTATTTGTGGCAGTGAAATGAACTGACCTGGTCCTAACCTTGCTTATGGTGGTGGTACAAAAGGTACTGAGTCATGGCATTTGCCATTGTGTTGTGCTGCCTCCCAGTACAGCCTATGCCAGGGATCTATGGAGAGCAGGTGTGTAGAGGACAGGCTGGCTCCTCTGAATAGTCCTGCTTCTGACTGCTCTTCCCATTGGGATGGGGATGATCGTGAGTACCATGTGCAGGAACTCTTCACAAACGGCCTCATGATGGGTCGTTATAGACTATGGATGGATCTCTATAGATTGCAAATGGTTTGAGTAGTTCAAAAGAAGCAGAGACTGAAAAAACACAGATTCAGATTAGTGGTGGCTGCTCTTTTACATGATCTGTTTACATTATGCAGGAAGGCTGTTACTAATCAGATGGGTCTGGGGTATTTGCTGGTTGAACTAGCACCAGTAACCAGTTTTTCCTTCAGCTCTGTGGGAAAATGCTGCCAGGACCTTCTGCTTCAGATATACCTGCAACTACCCGAGCTCCTTGTGCCTTTGCCTGAGATGCTTCTCACCAGTGAAGGAGCCAGAGACAGCAGCACTTGCAAGGTAAAGTTAGAGGCGTAGGAAAGCCCCTTTCCAGTCGTGCCCCCAGAGTGGATGCTACCTTGATGCTCAGTCTAAAAGGAGAGGACTGGCAAAGGCTTCCTGGGTCTCTTTAATTTCTTTACCTTGCTCTTCTCTTGCACCTTCCCTGCCTGCACTCTCGGGAGCAGGGAGTTCAGGTGTGGTTTACTTTGCAGTGTCCTTCTATAAAATAGTATAAGCTCCACAAGCTTCTATGTGCCAAAGGCTTCTGTAAAGCACAAGTGTGCAGGCATCTGATCCTGCTTTGATGTCTGCAAGGGACTGTGGACTTCAGATCCTGTGCCAGCTGGAACGTTGCATCTGTTCACAGATTCTACCTGAAAATAATTTCTGTTAACCCCCTCTGTATTTGAAAAGGAATTAGGAAACACTGCTGAAGAGCCAGGGGCTTGATTGTGCTTTAAACTTAATTGTTTACTCATTACTTTTCTTCTAGCTCGATGCCCTGGTTCACAGATTCATTAACCTCCTTGCAGACACCAGTGACTCCAAGTCATCAGAAAGCCGCGTGTGGGATGCCAATATGGCCTGCAGGAAGCTAGCTGTGGCTCATCCCATCCTGCTTCTTAGGTACTTCTCTCCCCTTTCAGCCTCTTTGTGGCTGGTGTTCACTGAAAAGCATCCACCCTTGTCCTAGAAGGGGAACAAACTTGCAGCAATCATGATGATTGTGACAGAATCCCCATTCACATGTGAAAGTCATGAGAAAGGGCAGCAAAGTTGTATCTCTTAAAATGAGGCAGCAACTCTTTTGGCTTCATGTCTGTCCAGAAACATCCCTCTTGGAGTTGGAGACTGGAGAACAGAATATGGGTGAGAAATGGGGCTTGCTGATTCTATGGATACAGGGATCAAATCCAGAACCCTGGAAGAGGATAAGGGACTTTTCCTTCCAGAAACTGAGGTGTAACAACATGTAACTCTTCCTAGGAAGAGGCTAGATCTGGATTTTTTTTCTGTTTGGCATTTCAGGCACTTACCAATGATTGCAGCACTGCTGCACGGCCGTGTTCACCTCAATTTCCAGGAGTTCAGGCAGCAGAACCACTTGACCTTCTTCATCCATGTCCTGGGGATCCTGGAGCTGCTCCAGCCGCAGGTCTTCCAGAACGAGCACCAGGCGGCACTATGGGACTGTCTCCTGTCCTTCATCCGTCTGCTGCTGGTAGGAAAGTCCTCGCTCCCTCTCCACTCATGGGCTGACAGCCACCAGAGGGAGAAGCTCATGAAACACAGGGCCAGCCCAGCTCTCTCCCATTTGAAGGGAAAACCTGCATATACCTAAGAACAAAAAAGTGTATCAAGTATCTTGGAGAGCTTAAAAAGGAGGCAGGAGATCAAGAAGCTACTCCCTGGTTCCCAGAGCTGCAGATGGGTCAGTGCATCACTGCTTTTTTTTTTTTTAACTCTCATCTTCTCAATCTTTTCTCAGAACTACAGAAAATCCTCGCGGCACCTGGCTGCCTTCATCAGCAAGTTTGTCCAGTTTATCCACAAGTACATCACGTGCAATGCCCAGGCAGCTGTCTCCTTCTTGCAGAAGCACTCGGATCCACTCCAGTAAGTTTCCTGACTCCAGTTAGCCCATGGTTAGCTCGTGGAGAGCTCACACAGTCAGATTGCCGTGAGCTAATCAGACAGAAGATAGCAAGACTGTGTGACAGAATAGCTATTGATATGGCACTTTTTCACCCTTAGCTCTCTTAAGTCTCTATTGAGATGAGCAGCATATCCCTTTTTGTAGGTGAAAACTGAGCCCAAGGAAGTCAGGTGATGATTTTTAACTCCCATAATGGCCTGAATGTCCTGTTGAGGTGTTGTAGTGCCCTGCAGTCATTTCCAGAAGGCCAACAGGAGGAGGGATTTCTCCCTGAGTGATGCCTGCAGGGTCCCACCCTGCAGAGAGGGGGAAAAATGCATTTGAGTTCCAGTAAGGATGAGAGGAAAAATGTTATTTCTGCTTCTGAGAAACTATTTTTACTGTACACATACATGCTGTTTACTTGGCCTCACGCTCTTATTGCTATTGAAAGCTAAACATGTCATTTCTTCCCCCAGTGACCTATCATCAGATAACAGTGACCTTGCTATGTTGAAGTCCCTCCTCGCTGGGCTGAGTCTACCTAGTAAGAGTGGCATCTTGGACAGGGGCTCTGATGAAGAGAAGGATGGTGAGTCTGAGTAGGGGGAAGAGTTATTCCAGCTGGTGAACCTGTTTTGGAGCACAGATGCTTTTATGGGCTATATGCTGTGCTCATTCTTCTTGTAACAGTCCAGTGAAAGGGGATTTAAAGTGGAGAATGGCACTTGTATGCTCAGCAATTTGGGACCAGTATCTGGGATGGGTTAATTTGTTTTCCTGTCAGTGATATCACTACTGGAGCAAAAAAAAAAAAGCTCTTGAGGGTGAGTTTCGTTGCTGTGCATTTTGCCTTCCTCAGCCACACTTCAAGACTGACCTGTCAAGAGTCCTTAATGGTACATCCACTTTTCCACTGTTTTCTTTACAACTCACATGGGAAATTTATTCAATATTAAAACAGCTCGGGAAGGTTTCTTCTCTTTGCATCAGCTGAAGTTGTAGTGATGCTAGAGACAATGCAAGAGCCAGGAATTGTATTCTAATGTTGCTGGTTGGCTCATGATGCGCCACTGTACTGGTAGGGAACACTGGACCTGTTTAAACTACACACACGATCTGGAGTAAGCTGTTCTCTGTCTCTCTCTCCCAGACGAAGCAGGAGCTGGCTCTCTCCCCCTCGTCAGTGTGTCTCTCTTCACTCCTCTCACGCCAGCTGAAATGGCCCCCTATATGAAGAGGCTCTCTAGAGGCCAAACAGTTGAGGGTAAGTGAGGACCTGCAGAGCTGTACAAAGACACAGGGCAAATAGCAGACAGATGCCAACCCTGTTCCTTATCTGTCAGCTACAGGCTAGTTTCCTGTTTCACTCTTGTGTTTGGAAGTCTCCCGCAGTTAGGATGTGGTTTTGTTTTGGATAAACTTGTCCATAGCCTCCTGTGATTCCATGACAGAGGCTTCCTATGATGCTGTTATCACTTAGCTTAGCAGTGCTGCAACTGCCTCTGCTTTGGGGCTCTTCAAGGATCTTGTATGTGCTCTAGGAGATAGTATGAGTAATTCAAGGACTGCTGCAGTGCTGATAGGAATGTCATTTTTGTAATGATATAAAAATACCAAACTCATGAGAAGTGGGATTTTGTTAGAAATCCCTAAATGGCCTTCTTGGGAGAAAATCATGTTAACCTGGTATATGGGAACAACATGCTGCTTCTCCAAAGGTCTTCTGAAATAACACGTGTCCAGTGTTCAGACCTGAGGTGCGGTATTGGGGTGGCAGTTTTCCTTTCACACTAGAAGTAGGGGGTAGAAATCCTGCCAGGCCACTGTTTTGAGAAGAGGCTTTCTGTGAAGATCTTTCAGTTACAGAAGACAGTGTTTTGGAATTGAAACCTCACACCCCACTCCACTCCTCCCCTTGCCTATGGCATGACAGTGCTGGTGACCTCTGCCTGGGCAGGTTGGGATGTGCTGATCTGGCACATGACCTACGTGTTCTCTCATCCTTTTTAAAGAATGCCTTTACTACTCTAGCTCTGTGTGCAGGTGGGAAAACTTGACTGCTTGGGAGATTGGATTTGTAGGGGAAAAGAAAAAGATCCTTTACTGGATCAGTGAATTTTAGTCACCCTTTCAACCCATGTCTTCCACCAGACATCCTGGAGGTGCTGACAGACATTGATGAGATGTCCAGACGGAGGCCAGAAATTCTCTCCTTTTTTGCTGTGAGTATTAATGTCTCAAACTGCCACTGGAAGGAAGAGATTCTTTTCACCAGAGTCTGTGTTGCACAGCCAGCTTAGGCACTACCCTTCCTCTGCTTTTTGGGTGGTTGTTGCAGCCTCTTAGGAGAAATTTATCTCCAGTTAGGCCTTTGGACAGAGGCAGTGGTTACTTCCCTACCATCTTCTCTCCATTGCTTACTGGATCTGCCATCCTCCAGCTTAACTTCTCTTTATGTCAAAGGAAGAATTAACCCTCTGTGCTCTTCCCAGTATTGGGGCAAGGAGAGAGCAGAACAGCTCTGTCAAAAACACCAGAGCCTAGGGAAAACTCAGCTGTGCCATGTGGAATAAGATTACAGAAGGGTGCATTAAAGTATTCAAAAAGAGGATAATCCTTCTTGCAGAGGGTGGATTTCCTGGCTCAGCCAGTACCTGCTGGTTGCGTGTTGGGCTGGGTTGGTGCTGAAGGGGTAGTAATGCAAGTCTGAGGAGTTTGTGTTCCCTGGATGGCCAAGTCTGAGGGGTTTGTGTTCCCTGGATGGCCAAGTCTGAGGGGTTTGTGCTCCCTGGATGGCCAAGTCTGAGGGGTTTGTGTTCCCTGGATGGCCCTCTGACCCCAATTTGTGCATCGTCCTTCAGACAAACCTCCAGAAGCTGATGAGTGCATCAGAGGAGTCCTGCCGAAATCTGGCCTTTAGCCTGGCTCTGCGCTCCATTCAGAACAACCCCAGGTGAGGACCTCTGGACCTTGGGCTGTCCCGAGTCACTGATGGGCCCTGGCTGCCCATCTTGCCTGCCTGTGGATTGTGATCTGGACTGTACTGACACTGTCATGTTTTACCCCCAGCATTGCAGCAGACTTCCTTCCCACCTTCATGTACTGCCTTGGCAGCCGAGACTTCGAGGTGGTGCAGACAGCGCTGAGGAACCTGCCCGAATACACCCTCCTTTGCCAAGGTAAGTTGGTATCTGCCACCTCTGGTGCGTGCTTGGCCTCATGAGGGTCAGAGCTGGGCTCATGTGCTGGGAACAGCCTCCCTGGTAAGTTGCCAAAGGTCACTGTTGCCTAGACCAGGCTATTGAAGATGCAGGTGATCTGTATCAATAGCAGCTTTGGTCTGAGCATCACAGGAGAGATTTGCCCTAGAGACAAGGGACACTTCCTTGAAGTAGACTTGCTCCCTTAAGATTTTCCTCTGAGTTATGATCTCTGACATGATCACATACCATGGGGCTACTAGAGGGTGGATCACACCATGTTCTTACAGGAGGAGAGAATTTCTTGCACAGTTGCAAATGTTCATCCCAGTGTTTGCTGGCAGGTCGCTTTTGCTTGCGTGTTGGAGCTCTTGGCTCAGTCCTCATGCTGTCTTTCCCTTTGACAGAGCACGCAGCGGTGTTACTGCACAGGGCCTTCCTGGTAGGGATGTACAGCCAGATCGACACCAGCTCTCAGATTTCAGAAGCCTTGAAGGTTTTGCACATGGAGGCCATGATATGAACATGTGGTTCTGGGAGCTCTGCTTCCAGAGGACTTGACTTAACTGGACTCATTGGCTGCATTGAAGCCCTGTAAGAAGACGATGTATTTCAGCCGATGTGCTGGAGGATCCAAGAGGAGATGTAGCAGACTAGACTGTGCTGGAAGAGGAGAGTGTGCTGACAGAAGATCAGAAAGGGGCAAGGATTGGTCTGCCTGGCTAAGATGCCATTACTGTGGGAGGAAGATCTCCTGAACGTTGTGCCAAACAGGGACCACTCCCTTCATGGGGACTTAGGGCAGTGGCTGTTGGTTTGTTGTTTATTCTTTTTGTCTCTCCAGGAAGGCAGAGCTGCTGGGAGGGCAGAAGGGATTGCTGTCCCTTGCAGTTGAAGTCTCTGCACTCTCTGTGTTGGAGGGAACATGCAGATCTGTGCAGGGGGAGAGATCACTGTTTTCTGGGGGTAGGTGGGTTGGTTGGTTTTTGGGGTTTGTTTTGTTTTGTTTTTAATTAAAATTCTCTTCGTTTCCATTGTTTCTTTGTGTTCTACCTTGGGTATAGCTTGGCTTCATATGCTTCTCCCTGTTCAGTCTCTTGTTATTCTAGACCAAGCATCTCTGGAAGACTTGTTTCCCTGGCCAAATGCTCACAGAGCTATTTTGGCCTTTTACAGTATATGCACAAAATGGAGGAGGTTTAGAAGGGTCAATGGGGTATAATGGATGAGTTTGGTCAGCAGCAGCTGCTGACAGGACAACTTTGAAGAGGTTTCTTAGAAAAGTTTTCTTTAGAAACCAGTAAAGCAAACTTCTTGGTACATCTGCAGACATCCCAGCAGCTGGCCAGTGTCACAGTAGAGTCTTGGAACAAGCAGCTGAGTTTCCTCTTTGGGATCCGCTGGTTCCTCCCTGTGACTCTTCTGACCACTCTGGTCCTCATCTGCTGGTAGGGGTGATGGCTTACTTGCCAGCTGTTGTTTGAGAACAGAAAAGGAGTTGCCTGTCTTCCTTCTGCTCCAGAGAAATAACTGCCGCATATGCGCGTCCTCCAGTCTCTTAATTCGAGTCACCAGTTTGCTTTCGTGTCGTTTGTCTCTATTCCTCTGGCACTCCACTTGTTAGTAGAGAATCTTTGTAGTATTCTAAAGACAAAGATCCTGGAGGAATTTTATAGCTGGCTGTAAATAAGTCTGTATCTCCTTGCTGGTGGCAGGGACAGTTGTGACTTCATGGGTGGCTGGATGGAGAAATATTGTCCATTTTTGCAAATGAAGATTGCCACAGCTGAGCACTTTTGCTAATGTGTCAAAATATGATTGAATGTCCGGCTGGCTTTGCAGAGAAAGAGAGGAGAAAAGGGAGAGGTCTGAACCTCCCATCAACTGTAAGTAGCCTTGCCTTTAAATAAAGAGATTAGAGCCATCGCTTAAGGATGCAGCATG